AAGCCTCATAAAAAAAATTCGAGGCGTAAGCATCGAGACATTTTTTTACTGGAATTGCGCAAAGGCGGGCCTCAAGGCGAGCCTCATATTGCGCAATTTTAAACCATGATGACATCTCCTACTTTTTATGATTATGTTGTATCCTAATGTCCACGCTTATGTTTGTATCTCATGTTGATGTTCATTCTTCATAGGTGGAGACGTTTGGATTGAAGATTAGAGCATGCTAAATAAATTTTCTACTAGTTAAATTTTTGGAGAAAATATTTTCTTTGGAGAATGTTACTAGTGTGGAATAAGGAGAACAAAGATGAACTTAGTGCACTACTGAATAAACACCCATCATCTAAAATCTTCAAATCAAAAGGATAAGGGGCACCATACTATATTTAAAATCCAAAATTTTGTTATGCTCTCAATATGGGACTCTCTCCCAACCCTGTGCATCCAAAAAATCTATCCCTAACATGGGACTTAGGCTTCGTTTTGGAATGGCTTTCTTAATGTTTCTTAAAGCAGCTTTTTAGTACAAAATTAAAACTTTAATAAGCATTGTGAAAGCCGTCTCAAAACAAAGCCTTAGTCACAGAAGTCACCACTCCAAATCCAAAGGAAGTTTCCAACACCAAATATTATGTTCAAGTACCCAATAAGTCGCACTTTGATATCCATTGTTAAGAGGTAGGAATGCCAAAGGCCCAAGTACAGTCCAATACTCTTTTGGATGTACATCAATTACAAAGCTTAAATTAATAAGGGTCATCATTAATATATTAAGAACTCTAACACATTTTTTATTGTCTGAAGTGAGAAGAATAAGGTCCTCAATTGCATCTCTAAACATCAGGAAGCTAATAAAAAGAATTCTGACAAAACTTATCAGGTTTCTGGAGAAGTTACCTACAACGGTCATCGAATGGATGAATTTGTTCCTCAAAGAACTTCTGCTTACATTAGTCAGCATGACACACACGTTGGAGAAATGACTGTGAGAGAAACCTTGTCTTTCTCTTCAAGATGCCAAGGGGTTGGAACTCGCTATGGTAGGCTAGCAAAAAGAGTTCAATTTATAGAATTGCCTTGCTGAAACTTTTCAGGCCTTCAAGCTCAGTTATTATTTGCTGAATGGTTTGCAGATATGCTAACTGAGCTATCAAGAAGGGAGAAAGAAGCAAACATCAAGCCTGATCCAGAAATTGATGTTTACATGAAGGTCAGTATTACAAAATAATAACAACAATAATAAGCCTTTATCCCACTACGTGGGGTCGGCTACATGAATCATTTTTCTCCATTGTGTCCTATTAAAAGTCAAATTCTCGTTTAAATCTAATAGAGAAAGATCATTTCTAATATTTTCTAATATTTCTCCTTCAAACCTCTTAATAAATGTATGGCTTCCATAGTTGACCTACCCGGCATGAATCCAAATTGATTTCGAGAAACATTAGTATCATACCGCAATCTATGCTCCATAACTCACTCGCTCCCATAGTTCTAAAGTATGACACATTAACTTAATTCCTCTATAATTCGCACAAAATAATAATAATAATATTTTTAATCGCAAGCTTACAGTTTAATTTGAGAGCACTGAACTGATAAACAGAGATGAAAATGCTGTACCTGCACATATGTAGACATAATAGAAATGGGCTCTAGCCCCAAGTATTGAAGATAAAACATATTTTTCTTTCCTGCAGATTTATTTTTAAATTTAATTTAATTGTTTAACTCTCAAAATTAAAATATCTAATAGGATAGATCAAAATCAATAATGTTGATTTAAACATGAAAGCACTTGACAAATTTCTATCATTCATAAGAAATTTTGTTCTTTGTGCGTCAAATGAAGAAAAGAAATTTCTAAAATAGTTCTAAATAGTCAGGATAAGATCCATGGCGATAATGCTAATAAGATATGTTGGAGCTTAAAAAAAAAAGATATGTTGGAGCAGATGCTGATCTAATAACATAGCATTATAAATTAAATATTATATTTTGCATGCAATGTTACTGAGGTAAATTGCCAGAACAAAAGTTGATTAAATTACATATTTTATTGTACAATGCCAGGCAATATCAGTGGAAGGGCAGGAGAATGTGGTGACAGATTACATTCTTAAGGTAAGTCTCCAAACACAGAGATCATTTCACATCAAATCTATTTAGGTTTCTATGAATATAAAAAATAATACCACCTCTGTCATCTCCTCCTGTTAAAGATCTTAGGATTGGAGATTTGTGCCGATACCATGGTAGGAGATTCAATGATAAGAGGCATTTCAGGAGGACAGAAGAAACGTGTGACAACTGGTAAATTGGCATTGTGACTTGTCCCATCTCCCTAAGAAAAAGTTCTATGTATGAGAGTAGAGATTTGGTATAAAAACAAACAATTTGATATTAAAAAAAAAATTTGAACATGAAAGATAATTTGATATGGATATCCTAAGCTAATTTTTAGTGAGAATGCACTTACCTCTTTATGCCATTTAGACAAGTTCTTCTGCTTCACATGATAAAGTTTTTTATCTTGCAAAAATAACCATCTTAGATGTTGCACAACAGAAAGGATTTTCATTCTAATTGATGAAAAATATCATGCATTTTAATTTAAGTGAACATTTTGATTCACTTTATGCCATTGAACTTAATATCCTGTTCAGGTGAAATGCTTGTTGGCCCTTCAAAAGCACTTTTCATGGATGAAATTTCAACTGGTCTCGATAGCTCCACCACATACCAGATTGTGAATTCCCTCAGGCAATCTGTTCACATTCTTGGGGGAACAGCAGTGATTGCACTGCTTCAACCAGCACCTGAAACATTCGAACTTTTTGATGATATTATACTTCTATCTGAGGGGAAAATTGTGTACCAGGGCCCAAGGGAACACGTTCTGGAGTTCTTTGAATTAATGGGTTTCAAGTGTCCTGAGAGAAAAGGAGTTGCAGACTTCCTGCAAGAAGTAAGTTGCAAAACTAGATAGAGATTTGTTGTTCAATCAACATGGTGATTCTGATTGAGTCATTTTCTTTGCATCAATAGGTCACTTCGAGAAAGGATCAACATCAGTATTGGGCTCATAAGGAGGAACCATACTGTTATGTTTCTGTTAATGAATTTACTGAAGCCTTTCGGTCATTTCATGTCGGGCTAAAGCTAGGGGTAGAGCTCAGTACTCCATTCGATAGGAGTAGGAACCACCCTGCAGCACTAACAACTTCAAAATATGGAATTAGTAAAATGGAACTTCTCAAAGTATGCACCTCAAGGGAATGGTTGCTGATGAAAAGAAATTCATTTGTCTATATCTTCAAAGTAGTCCAAGTGAGCAGAAAAGCCTGAAACCTTAAACATCAACTATTGAAGCTATAGAATTCACAAATAAGACATCACTTACTAACTTTTTTCTTCCATGACCAACCAGCTTATCATTCTTGGATTTATTGCAATGACGGTTTTCCTGCGAACAAAGATGCATCGCCGTGACGCAGAGGATGGAGTCATCTTCTTGGGTGCGATGTTTCTTGGACTTGTCACTCATTTATTCAATGGGTTTGCTGAACTTGCAATGAGCATCGCAAAGCTTCCCATATTCTACAAGCAAAGAGATCTCCTCTTCTACCCCTCATGGGCCTATGCACTACCTACTTGGATACTCAAGATACCAATATCATTTTTGGAGTGTGCTGTCTGGATTTGCATGACTTACTATGTCATTGGATTTGATCCAAATATCAACAGGTTAGAGTACCAATCAAGATGATATCTCATGGGTAGCATACCTTTGGTTAAAGTTCTTACCGTAAACAAGTCACCTACTGTTTTGCAGGTTCTTCAAACATTATCTGTTGCTTGTTCTAATCAGTCAGATGGCATCAGGACTCTTTCGGCTCCTTGCTGCACTTGGGAGGGAAATGGTTGTGGCTGATACTTTTGGATCATTTGCACAAATTGTGCTATTGATCCTTGGAGGCTTCCTCATTTCAAGAGGTATAGGAATTTTACCAAATGAATCTAAAGTTGAAATACTATTGGTGGACTCTTCTCCTTAAGCTTTCTGAATGACAATGAATTGGACCACCTACCCTACAGTCCCACTTGTGATCCACAATCCTTTAAATGTATCATAATAACTTTTGATGTTATACATCAATATTTACTTGCATAGTAATTTCATATTGCAGAGAAAATCAAGAAATTGTGGATATGGGGATACTGGTCCTCTCCCTTGATGTATGCACAAAATGCAATTGCTGTGAATGAATTTCTTGGACACAGTTGGAATAAGGTGAGCATATTTTCCTCAACGAGCATCACTTCTTTCACTTCTCTTTGGAGATAATACTTACGAAATCTTTATGGCACAGTATGTTCCTGAATACACTGACACTTTGGGAGTTGAGATTCTAAAGATTCGTGGGATCTTTGTCGATGCTAACTGGTATTGGATAGGCGTGGGCGCACTTATCGGATACGTCTTTCTATTTAACATTCTCTTTATTTTCTTCCTTGATTGGCTCGACCGTAAGTATCAAAACATGAAGCTTCATCTTTTAAACTTGAATATTATTGTACTAACTCATATATTCCTGCAGCATTTGGCAAAGGTCAGGCAACCATCTCTGAAGAAACATTGACAGAGAAGCAAGCAAATAGAACAGGAGCAAGTCTTGAACTTTTGCCTTCAAAAGCTGAATTATTACCTTCACGATCTGATTCTTCTAAGGGTGCAGGCCAAGAAGGTGAACGAACAACCTGTAAATTTCAGCCATATTAATGTTAACAAGCAAGAAAAGCTTTAAATCAATTGAAATATTTTAAATACTTTCAGAAAAGATTTTCAACGAGAAAAAGAAGCATGGAATGGTACTCCCATTTGCTCCTCTTGCAATCACCTTTGATAATGTCAGATACTCTGTGGACATGCCCCAGGTAGTTGATAAATCCTATATAACTAACTATTTTCTTAATCTAAAAACAAAATGTTTAAGTTATTTTTCTAATTTTTATTTTTCACAGGAAATGAAAGACAAAGGAATTATGGAGGATCATTTGGTCCTATTGAAAGGTGTAAGTGGAGCATTCAGGCCAGGAGTTCTTACAGCTTTGATGGGTGTCAGCGGAGCTGGAAAAACAACTCTGATGGATGTTTTAGCTGGCCGAAAAACAGGTGGTTACATAGATGGAGACATTTGCATATCAGGATATCCCAAAAAGCAAGAGACTTTTGCTAGAATTTCTGGATATTGTGAGCAGAATGACATCCACTCTCCACATGTTACTGTCTATGAATCACTCCTTTACTCTGCTTGGCTACGTTTGCCTGATGAAGTTGATGCTGAAGCAAGAAAGGTTAGCGAACTATAAAAAAAAAAAAAAAAAAAAAAAATCTAGCCAGAGATTTAAAGAAAATCTTATTTACTTTTTCTTGGAAGTAACTTCTATAAATAAATTACTACAGGTGTTCATTGAGGAGGTCATGGAACTTGTGGAACTGAAGGTATTGAGAGGGGCACTTGTAGGATTACCTGGAGTGAATGGCTTATCAACAGAACAGCGAAAGAGGCTAACAATTGCAGTAGAGCTAGTTGCCAACCCTTCTATAATATTTATGGATGAACCAACCTCTGGGCTTGATGCTAGGGCGGCGGCCATTGTGATGAGAACGGTAAGGAACACTGTGGACACTGGTAGGACAGTGGTGTGCACAATTCATCAGCCAAGTATTGATATCTTTGAAGCTTTTGATGAGGTAACTTGCCTGCAATAATTTTAGAGAAGAAGAAAATTTCGCTTTATGTCATGTCCTTATTCTAGGATTCATATTGCTTGGGTCTGTTAAACTGCAGCTTTTCCTAATGAAACGGGGTGGAGAAGAGATTTATGTTGGTCCATTAGGACGCAATTCATGCCATTTAATTAAGTACTTTGAGGTGAGCATCATCATAAAGGAATTAAAAAAAAAAAAACAAATCCTATCAGAGAGAAATGTTCATAAAATGTTATCAAAATCTCACTTTCTACCTTATTATTCAGGAAGTAGAAGGAGTTATGCCAATCAAAGATGGCTATAACCCAGCAACATGGATGCTAGAGGTAACAACCCAGGCACAAGAGGGCATTCTAGGTGTTAACTTTGCTGAGATCTACAAAAACTCTGACCTCTACGGGTACGTTCACCAACCATACAGGGTTCATTTGGGACAGCTTTTTTGTTGTTTTCTAAAACAGCTTTTTAGTAAAAAATTTGATGAATAAAAAACTGTTTTAGAAATCAACAAAAAATTATCCCAAACTAAGTCATAGTCTCAAATCCTTTAAGCAGCTTTAGGTTAACTTAAAGCATTTACTCTATGCAGAAGAAACAAAGCTCTGATCAATGAACTAAGCGCTCCCCCTCCTGGCTCAAAAGATCTTTTCTTTCCAACCAAATACTCGCAATCATTCTTAACTCAGTGCAAAGCTTGCCTATGGAAGCAGCACATGTCATACTGGCGCAACCCCTCTTATACAGCCACACGAATCTTCTTCACTACCATTATTGCATTAATTTTTGGGACAATTTTCTGGAAACTTGGTAGAAAAGTGTAAGTTGACATAATACTTTTGCCCCTGCTTTCTTGAATAAATTTGAACAGAAAACAAAATAAAATAAAGTAAATAAATAAACTCTATGATTATATGCTGCAGGAGTACGCAACAAGACCTGTTCAACTCTTTGGGCTCCATGTATGCAGCTGTTCTATTCATTGGAATACAGAATGGTCAAACAGTGCAGCCCATTGTCGATGTTGAAAGAACAGTATTCTATAGGGAGAAGGCAGCTGGAATGTATTCTGCACTTCCTTATGCATTTGCGCAGGTATGTTCATTGATTTCACATTAAATAAAGGCAATGCAACTTTGATAGTTCAGATTGCAGTATTCATGAACCTCTCACCTTATCCTCTGGCAGGTCCTCATTGAGATCCCACACATCTTTCTTCAGACCATGATTTATGGTCTAATTGTCTACAGCTGCATTTCTTTCGACTGGACATTAGTGAAGTTCTTTTGGTACACGTTCTTCATGTTCATGACCTTCATGTACTTTACATTCTATGGCATGATGGCAGTGGCCATGACACCGAACAGCGACATTGCTGCCATAGTCTCCACTGCATTCTATGCAATATGGAACATCTTCGCAGGCTATCTAATCCCTCGGCCGGTAAGTTTACTTCTATCTCAAAATAAGAAAAGCCTTGTTTTTTAATTATGTAATATTTGACCTTCAGCAATAAGCACTAAAACTATTTCTGGCAACTTACAGAGGATTCCTGTGTGGTGGAGATGGTATTCATGGGCATGCCCGGTTGCATGGACTTTGTATGGATTGGTTGCTTCACAGTTTGGTGACTATACAACCACTATCGAAACAGGTGAAACTGTCCAGGAGTTTTTGAGGAGATACTTCGGGTTCAGACACGACTTCTTGGGAGCGATAGCCGCAGCCATAACCTGCTTTGCTGTGCTCTTCGCCTTCGTCTTTGCATTTTCAATCAAAGTTTTCAACTTCCAGCGAAGATAAAAAAAAAAAAAAAAAAAAAAAAAAAAAAAAAAAAAAAAAAAAACTTTTGAAGTTTTCCTTCCACAATTTATTCATTCACTTTGGAATTTGGGTTGTTGATGATTTCTGTACAGCTTGGTGTTTGTAAAACCTCTTTTGTTTTCCATTTAGGCTGCTGCTCTTATAATGAGTGCAACAGGCGAGAAAGAGTGTGTTCATGTAATGGGCATTCCTAAAGATTTTCTGTTTTTTTTTTAACAGTGCATATAAAATACTCATTTCTTCACATTTCAATCGATTATATGAATTGCGATTATTTTATCATGCCTGTCAAGGTAAATTGGCCAAAACTAGTAACTTTTGTTGACAAATCAAGAAGCTCGAAACAGAGAAAGGAAAATGAAAACTTTATATCATGCAAAGGTATTACAAGTAGTCCTATATATAGAAAACAGATAACCCATGGACGGTCAGGATTAATTATCAAACAGTCTGTACAAATATAACCGACAAAAATTGCAGAAAGGGTTGCGTTTACCTGATGCGGATGGATGGAGAATTTTATCGAACAGATAATGTGTAAATCTCTAACATAATTTGTAACCATTTAATCTGGAGCAGTGGAGCCAAATTGGGGTGAAACAGTAGTAGAACTCAAAGTATAAATTTTTAGTTCAGTCAATAAAAATGAGGTAATCCTCAGATAAGATTTTAGTCTCTCTGTGAAATTTTCTCTGCACCACACCAAAGAGAAAGTCCGAAAACAATAGAAATACAATACAGAAAAAAAGATCTGCACTTGGTTTTCATGAATGCTTTTGAGCTTACCTCAGCAAACAGGCCGAACATCAAGCAATGTAGGCTCTGTTGATCCATCCTCCAACACTTCCAATGGCATCTCGCTCTAATTAAACCCCTAATTCCATCCGCAAATAAACCCAGTCCTCCCTAAGCCGAACAAAAGGATTTCAAAACAAAGACTAGAAGTTCTTGGATGTATGATAACTTGATCTTCCACGCCTGACGCCCACCTGGGAGTTGACCGCGCCGGTGTGTGCTTGGCTGGATGAACTGAGCTCCCTACGCAGAAGCAGGTGAATTTGAGGAAATTTTTAGCTTTGCATAGTTAGCGACTTAATTAAGTGATTAAGCTCGTTAAAAATAAAAACTAGACGTTTAACGGGCAACTTTCCCTATTTCATTTTTTTTTAAATAGAACTGAAAACATAGCCATTAATGAAAGAAAGCAAGTTAATTGGGCTTAAGAATGCCCAAAGTGTGCCCAAGTCTTGGGAAGTCCCGAGGACATCTCTAGGGATTCAATGGGTCATCTCATGGATTTAAATAGGTTTGAGAATGCCTTAGTTGAAAGGTTTAAGAAGGGTTGAATTGTATGTGAACTTGGTCAAATTTGGTTCATTAAGTTAGGATTGATGATTTGAATCTAATGTAGGGGTGTCAATTTTTGACACGACACGAACCCGACCCGAAAAAATTCGGGTTCGGGTCAACCTAAACCCGAAACGGGTCGGGTTCGGGTTGACACGGAAACACGAAATTGACCCGAAAACTCATATGTGACCCGAAAATCCGAGTTTGACCCGTTTTTGACCCGATTTTGACCCGAAAAATGAAGATTGACCCGAAAACTAGCAATTTTGGGTCAATTCCGTGTCATTCGGGTCGGGTTCGGGTTGACACGAACAGTGTCGGGTTCGACCCGAACCCGACCCGTTGACCCGAATTGACTCCCCTAATCTAATGGGAGTGGTCCCAAGCGGATAGGAGCTCATTTGGGTTGAAATTAATCTTTGAATTCTTAAAAAGCAATTTGGTCAATCATGTCAAACCCAAGGCTGGGTTTAGGTCCAATGCAATCCAAATGATGCTTGGGATGCATTAGGATAGATCTTAGGGCTTGACATGGTTGAGCCATGTTGAACTTTGGGGAAAAAATCAAAAATTCCCTTAAAGAGTATTTTGATCATTTTGACACCTAGTCAAACATAGATCAAACTAAGCCCAAAAAAATGGTTTACTGGTCAACATGTCATAATAAAGGCTATGAGCATGTTCAAAGGTTTTGGAGAAAATCCCAAAGTCAATTTCCACTATATGGCAAGTCCAATGGCATGGAATGTAAATATTTGAAGATTGTGCAACATTTATAAATAAATTTAATTTATGGGATAATAAGTGTCAGATTGGGCTCAAATCTGTAGAGTTGGCCCTAGGGACATGTCTGATTAATATGCAACTGAGAGATCGTGAATCAGTGATTATTTGACTAAACTTCAAGGGGACTGAAAAATCATCTAGAAAATTTTTCATGATATGGGTCCTTAACCTTAGGATTTTAACCTGGGATTATGGATTTAGATTGGATTTTGAATGTGATTTACTAAATCGTGAGTTGTTCACACCAATCACAACCAAATGAATAATTGAGATTGATTGAACATGATTAGAGTTTTATTGAGAGTTGACTTAGAGTATGGGATTAAAAACTTGACTGGAGTTTGACTATGATCTATATGTTTGACAAGTGGAGAATTGTTAATCATCATATCACTAAGTAGGAGCTTAGATAGGTCCTGATGACCTCATATAGAAATGAGGTCAACAAAAATCAGTATAAATCTTTCTGTATATAAAAAGATACAAAATATAATATTTTTATTAGCTTAATTAAAATATATAGTTCTTACTTATATTGTTAATAACTAACCTCAAACTCCATGAACCATATATTGCACAGTTCCTTTGGGATTTTCCTCTAAGAAATGTAAGGAGCATCAAACTTGCTTCATATTATCTTCCGTAACTTATGCATGGACTGCTTTGACTGAAGAAACTTCCACAAAATGTGTTAGTTTGAAAAATATTTCTCAAAAGATCTTAGTAATATTAAGAATATAGTAAGTGTTTGTCACCCTCAAGTGCAATCCACATACGCCCATCTGACGTCTTTTGTGCTGAAGCCGGGATGTAAGGTCCGCTTATAGAGGGCTAAGGGGGTGGTGGGTGCTAGAACGGTGGAACATATTATGGATAAGCTAACTTACCAAAAGTATTTCATTCT